GTGTAGGTCATGGAGTGCTGGCAGTTGCCAGGAGATGCACCTCTGTACCACAGCAGGTATAAGAGACTCGAGACTAGGAAGTCATTCTCAGCTCCATTTTGTTGTTGTTGTTGTTGTTAAAGATTTTATTTATTTATTACGTATACAGTCTATACAGTCTTCTGCCTGCATGCCAGTAGAGGGCACCGGATCTCATTCCAGGTGGTTGTGAGCCACCATGTGGTTGCTGGGAATTGAACTCAGGACCTTTGGAAGAACAGTCAGTGTTCTTAACCACTGAGCCATCTCTCCAGCCCTCTCAGCTCCATTTAAGAACCTTTTTGGTTAAGTTTTCTAAGGTTTTATGTGGAAATCCTTGCTGAATGTTTGGGCACCATATGTAGGTGAAGTTTCCTGTCCTGACTGCCGCTTCCCAAAGAACTGACTTGGAGACTTAATATAAATTATAAATGCTCAGCTAATAGCTCAGGCTTGTTATTAACTCTTACATTTTAAGTTAACCCATATTCCATGTGGTGGAATTAGCCTGGCGCAGTCATCTTCTGCTCCTTCTGCGTCTGGCTGGCGACCCTCTGACTCCACCATCCTCCTCCCAGCATTCTCAGTTTGGCTTTCCTGTTCAGCTCTTGGCCGGTATGCTTGTTTATTAAGCCAATCACGGTGACATATATCCACACAGTGTACAGAAGGATTATTCTACAGCACAGGTGTTTTGCCTGCTTGTGTGTCTGTGTAGCGTTCAAATGTATGTGCAGGCTAGAGGGCAACCTTAGGCATTCTTCCTCTGACATTATCCACTTCTTGAGGGGTGGTGGGGTGGAGAGGGTCTCTCACTGGCTTGGAACTTGCCAAATAGACTTGGATAGCTGGCTAGAGAGCTCCAGGAATCTACTTTTCTCTACTTCCCCAGTGCATGGATTACAAGCACATGCCACATGCCAGCTTTTTTACATGAGTTCTGGGGATCAAACTGAGGGCCTTGTGTTTGCAAGGTGAGCGCTTTGCTAAGCATCATCCCAGGTCCTTCTTATGGGAATTTTTAATGAATATTTGCATGGGGAAACCTGCATGCTGGTTGTTTGGTTGTTGATGCCGGAGACTGAACCCAGAGCTTCACATACACTGAACACACACTCTACCACCAAGCACTCTCCTGATCCCTTTATAGTTTTAATCAAAGAAACATGTGATGTCCCTGCCTCTCAAGTGTCTGCATTATGCAGCATGAAAACAGCTGCTCTTGAATAATTTAGCCTCACGCTGGAATTTAGCACAAAGGAATAATTTTGTCACACAACAGTGCCAAGAGCAAAGAGTGCTTGAATATCAAGATTTTCACAATAAAATAATAGATGCTTATTTTGTTAAATAAAATAATTGTAGCAGACCTCCTCTCGTGCACATGACATGGCAGAGAGTCAACTGACATTTGGATTCTTGAAGGTTCTGAGCCATGACTAAAAACACCATCATCATGTCTTAGGGTTAGAATTAGTGTGAAGAGACACCATGACCACCGAAACTCTTATAAAGGAAACATTTAATTGTGGTGGCTTGCTTACTGTTCAGGGGTTCAGGCCATCAGAGTGGAGAGCATGGCAGCATGCAGGTAGAGGTGGTGCTGGAGCTGAGACTGCCACAACTTGCAGGTAATAGGATGTCCACTGACTGTCACACTGAGTGAAGCCTGAGAAAAAGACCTCAAAGCTCACCCCTACAGTGACACATTGCCAACAGAAGATGTAGCCCAGATCAAAGGTGTGCCCCCCAGCCTCAAGGTCTAGAGTGAAGGCACATTTTCAACATTAATTACACAAGTTGATGTACACCTGTAATCTGGTAATCTGAGGCAGAAGGATCACAAGCTATAAGCTAGCCTGGGTTACATAGAGAGCCCCTGTCTCCAACTATGAATAGGTCTGCTTCCTGAATGTGGATGCAGTCTAATGAGCCAGGTTCCTGTACCTGCCACCAAGCTTTCCACGTCCGCTGCCATGTCTTCCCTGCCACCATGAACTCTATCCCTCTGGTACTATAAACCAAAGTAATTAACTCTTTGTCCCTAAAAAAAACGACAACAACAAAGTCTGCATTAGCAAAGCTCCTTCCTCTGCATATGCCAGTAAATGTAATTCATTTCTACCGACTTGCCTGGAATTCATCCCTCTCTTCATCTTCTCCCTGCCTCCATATCCAGTCCATCAGGAAATTCAGTTACTTCTGTGCCCAAATACATCCCCCAATACCTCTCTCCAGGGCAATAGTCTAACAGATTGGAGTGATTTCTTAGTCGTGTGTCTGTGAGGTGGTGGTGCCTATGGAGATCAGAAGAGAGTGTCAGATCTCTTAGAGCTGGAGTTTACATGCAGCTGTGAGCTGCTTAACTTGACTCTTAAGAAGTATACCTGGGTCTCCACAAAAACAGTGTGAGCCTTTAACCACTGAGCCATCTCTCCAGCCTACCCCATCAATCAATGTACACATAAAAGCCAAAGTAATGCAATATTTTAATTTTAGGTTTACCAAAATACCCATCATGATGTTCATATCATCAGATCATATTTCTGCTTAAAACTTTATTATTGTTGTTGTTGTTGTTGTTGTTGTTGTTGTTTGAGACAGGGTCTCTCTACATAGGCTGTCCTAGAACTCACTATGTAGTCCAGGTATGTATGCCACGATACCTGGCTCTGCTGAAAACTTTAACTAGTTCCCATAGCACTCTGCATAAAATCTGAATTTTTTACCATTCATAATCTTTATATTCACTGTGTACTCCTGTCAAGCAAGAGCAAGATAATTGGCTAGATAATGCAAAGTCAGAATTGACAAATGGGGCTGGCAAGATGACTCAGCTGGTAATGGCACTTACTGCCAAGCCTGATAATCTGTGTTTGATCCCAAGAACCCGAATGACAGAAAAAGAGAAGTGGGCTGGGCATTGGTGGCGCACGCCTTTGATCCCAGCACTCGGAGCCAGAGACAAGTGGATCTCTGTGAGTTTGAGGCCAGCCTGGTTTACAGAGCAAGTTCCAGGACCTACAGCTGTTAACACAGATGTCTTAGTTAGGGTTTCTATTGCTGTGAAGAGACACCATGACCATGGCAACTTTTATAAAGGTAAACATTTAATTGGGGTGATTCCATTACAGTTCAGAGGTTCAGTCCATTGTCATCATGGCGGGACATGGCAGTGTGCAGGCAGACATGTTGATAGGTAGGCCACAGGAAGTACGCTGAGACACTGGGTGGTATCTTGAGCATATATGAGATCTCAAAACCCGCCTCCAACAAGTGACACACTTCCTCCAACAAGACCATATGTACTCCAAGGCCATACCTCCTAATAGTGCCACTCCTTTTGGGCTTATGGAGGCCAATTACATTCAAACTACCATAAACAGAAAAACCCTGCCTGGGGTGTGGGGGGAAGAGAATAAAAAAATCATGGATAAATGTTTGTACTGATGATATGACAGCATGGCCTTGAACTTTTAGTTTTCCTGTCTCAGGACTAGGATTAGAGATGTGCACTGCCACTATACCCAACTTTAATGCTGAATTTTAACTCAGCCTTTAAGTCACAGTGTGTGTGTGTGTGTGTGTGTGTGTGTGTGTGCATGTAATTTTGTGAAACTGATCCACCAAACAGGAGAATCTTTTCAATAGTATTCTCTTCCTTCAGCTGTCCTCTAACTGGTGCCTTCTTCTTTATTAAATTCTCAAATTAAGTATCATCCTCCACAGAGAGACCTTTATAATCCCGTACTAGCCCCTCCTCCAACACATCAGTCTATGTTGCCATTTCCTCTGTAACCCTTGGGGTGCCATTTGTAGCCACTTTGTTCATTCTATTTACTTCGGTAGTCTTTAATAAACTCTTTTAAGGCGGTAAACATATGTATCATTCTTTGTTGTATCTTTAAGACCTCCTAGACAGCAGTAGGCTTCCATAGACACTGAATCAATCCCTGCATGTTGGTGCATGCCTATAATCCCAGAGCTCCAAAAGGCTAGAGTCAGTGGTTCAGGCTAGCCTAGGCTTCCTAAAGAGACCTTGTCTCAAAAAAAAAAAAAAAGGAAGGAAGCAAGAAGGAAAGAAAGAAGAAGCGCTAGGAAGGAAGGAAGAAGGAAAGAAAGAAAGAAGCACTAGGATATGCAATCGAGAACATAACTTTGTTTTTTTTTGGGGGGGGGAGGGCAGGAGGGTGGAAACAGGCTCTCGGATAGCTCAGGCTGGTTTAATCTCCTGTGTAGGAATTATTCGGTGTGCCATCACACCTGGCATCCAACAAACCTTTGATAAAAGCTCTTGTGACATATCCTGTTGACTCGGGGACAGAGGGAACCGAAAACTGCCTTAAAACCGAGTGTAAACAAGAAATGGAGGCCGGGAGGTGGTGGCGCACGCCTTTAATCCCAGCACTCGGGAGGCAGAGGCAGGCGGACCTCGAGGCCAGTCAGGGCTACACAGAGAACCCCTGTCTGGAAAAAGAAAGAAAGAAGTGACCCTCCCAAGTTTGAGCTCTTCTTTTACACCTCCGCTCCTCCCAGACCATAACGGTCTGCAACCCGGTGCTTTAAATGGCGGGTGGCAAAGATGGCCCTCCAGGCCCTCCCTCTGACTGACGGAGGCGGGCACTACGGGGGGACTCGTCTTAGTATTCATGAAGGGCGTGGCCTGTTTCCTGGGCGGACTCTGAGTGTTCCTGAGGGGAAGGCAGAGAGGCCGCGGCTTCTTGCCATTCGCGAGGGGGCGGAGCCTCCTCCCGCGGGGGCTCCTGGGAGGGCTCTGAGTGTTCCTGAGGGGAAGGCGGAGGAGCCGCGGCTTCTTGCCATTCACGAGGGGGCGGAGCCTGCTCCCGCGGAGGCTCCTGGGAGGGCTCTGAGTGTTCGTGAGGGGAGGGCGGGAGTCCGAGCTTCTTGGTATTCATGAGGGGGAGGAGCTTTCTCCCGCTGGGGCTCCTGGGAGAATTCTAAAATATACTTGAGGCGCCGGGGGCGCCCGAGAGCCGAGGAGGCAGCTCCGGAGCGGAGTGGAGCGGGGCGGAGCCGAGCGGAGCGGAGCGGAGCGGGATCCACCCCTGTTCTCTGGCGGGAAAACCCTGAGGAGATTTTTAAGTGTTGTGAGTCTGAGGATGGGGAGTCAGGACGACTAAATCCCACTCTTCTGTGACACTGTAGCCGGAAAACTGTCGAAATCTGTGGTAAAAAGTGTTTTCTCTTCCCCAGTAACTTTCTTGTGGGAATAATTCCGTGCTTTTCAGCACCTCCTATTTGATTTTCATATTGGCCAATTTCTTCTATGGTCCCCTAGATGACCTCCTCAGAGACGTTTAGGGTTGACATCGGAACTTTAAAACAAATCCCGATATTTAGCTGAGGGAATGTGGGGGCGGGGACGAGGTCCAGGCCCTAGACCCTCCCACCTTAGTGGGTGGGACGAGCTGGCCTGTCACCCGGCTTTTTCGAAGGCTGAATGAGGCAGGAGGTTCGCGAGTTCGACGCCAGCAATCCAAAAGGGAAAAAAGCATTTTATTGTCATTTGGGTTTGTGAGCTTCATGCTCTAGAAGGCCAAGAGAAATAGTTTCAGAAAAACCTGCCCTCCTTCACCTCTAAAATAGGTCTGAGTGAGGAAAATAAGAGACTTAAGGTTTTTTTGGGGGGGGTTGTTTTTGTTTTTTCGAGACAGTGTTTCTCTGTGTATCTCTGGCTGCCATCAGGCTGACCTCGAACTAAGAGATCCGCCTGCCACTGCCTCCCTAGTGCGGGGATTAAAGACGTGCCACCAACGCCTGGTTGGGACTTAAGTTTTGAAATAACTGAGGCCATTTATTTTTAGTCCTTCAGAGATTTAAATGAAAAATTATACATGCCCGTATGTCTACACCCTTAGTGGATGATAAGGACCCCTGGGAGGAGATGGGCAATGAGTCTTTGAAGGTACCACAAACCCCACCCTAGCCTTACTAGGGTAGAAGTTCCTGAAAGAAGAGGCACAAATCAGAAACTAGGTCAAGTTTGTACTTTATTATAGTGAATATGCTTTAAAATTAAGCTGGACAGTGGTGGCACGAGCCTGTAATCCCAGCACTGGAGAGGCAGAGGCAGGTGGATCTCTGTGAGTTTGAGGGCAGCCTGGTCTACAGAGAAAATTCAAAGTAAGCTAGGACTACCTAGAAACCCTGTCTTGAAAAGCAAAACAAAAAAGTTTAAAACAGCCTTGTTGATTAATTCAGTCAAAATTCTTCCACTTGGAAATTATATGAAGATACTAAAATACATATTCTTGTAGAAAAACATATATTGCCATATAATTCCATTGTAGCATGATTACAATACAATACGAATACTTACCTTCAAAAAAGAAATACATACTGTTATTATTACTCTCACAATAATATAAACACCAAATGCATTCTTTCATTTAGCTATATTTTGTAAGCATATGACATATTATGTAAAACTTCATTAGTTTTACAATTATTAATTTAAAATTTCACTGAATCAGCTGAAGCAAAAAGCAGTTATAGTCCATATTTGTTGTTGTTGTTGTCACTGTTCTGTTTTTCCAGACAGAATTTCTCTTTAAAGCTCTGGCTGTCCTGGAACTGGCTCTGTAGACCAGGCTAGGCTCAAATTCAGAGGTCCTCCTTTGCCCCCGCCTCCCAAGTGCTGGGATTAAAGCTGTGTGCCACCACCACCAGCTTTACTGTTACAGTCTTAATGGAAGTTCAGATTGTGTTTTTAACTGAGAAGTAAAGTTCTTGGCATGTTTTCAAATGTGTAACTAATTTTGACTTGATGTAAACTGAGATTTAACATTACAAGATAGCAAATGTAGGTGTAGTTTTTAGTTACTTTTTATAGAAAGGAAAAAACTATATTTTTTGTTTGCTCAGCTATATGGTAACTCTGTGATAGAATGTCTTAGTTGTTGCTTCAGGCTCTTCAGAGAACTTAAATTGGAATTGTACACACATATACAAAACAAAATATATGGTTTTCTAACTAAAATAGTGGAATAATACAAAGTCACTGTGTGATGCTTACTTTGTCTTTAAAGTGTTATTGTTTAGTGTAAGCAAACAATCAGTGATTTTTAATGTCATATTTAGCCAATTCCCTTTAAGAAATGACTATAAAAATCAAATTGTGTAGGCCTTTCCTAAGAATTATCTATAACTGTTACTAATGAAAACTGGAAAGGAGGGAAGTGTATTATTCACCTCCTACATAACCTTATAACTTTAATTTTTAGCAAGATGCAGTGGTGATATGCCTTTTATCCCATTACTTGGAAGACTGAAGCAGGAATCAACTTTGAGACGAGCCTGAGCCACATAGTTAAACTCTACTCCCAAATCTCCTTAAAAAATAATTGATCTGAATAGAAATTTCCAAAACTTCAATGTCACTGCCTATTTGTGTATTATTCAGCACATAATCCGTAATAGTATTACTGCAGTTTTAATCTGTTAGAGGTGGTACGTTCAAATTGCTCTAAAATTAAAATGTCTCTTTTTCTTTGTTTTTACTGTTTGTAGCAGAAGACTGTTAGTAGTACCTCACTTGGTGGAGTGCTTGTCTGGCATGCCTAAGGCCCTGGGTTTGATCAGCAACACAAAGAAGGGGATAAAAGAACAGAAAGTGTGACTCCTAACTTTAAAAAAAAAAACAAACAAACAAACCTCCATTGCCTTCATTTTTTTCTTTGTGTCTTGTGCTTTATTTTTTTAGCCAGGATAAATCCATAGGATAAGAAAAGATGGCATCTAAAGTAAATACCAGTTACACTTTGATACCCAACCAGAAATGTAAACGTACTAACCATCAATCCAGCTATTTTTGCAACACCCTTGATTTGGATCCTCAACTCTTATCTACACTTGGAAACTTTAAAGTCTTACCATTGGAAATATTCCACATAATTTTAAGATATTTGTCAGGTGAGGTTTGGGGGCTAGACTGTGTTATATAAGATATTAGATATATTATCATTTCCCCCCAAATATTACTTTGTCCTCTTTATTTCAGCTATATAAATATCATTCTGGAATGTTGATAACATTCATAGCTAAATTAAATGTAAAGTTCAATTCTTGCTCCCTCTCCTCTGTTTTGGTCCGCTCTCTCTCTTTTTTCAACAGGAAAGTTTACTTAGGAGACTGCAAGAGGCAGCTGGCTTAGCAGTACCATGAGGACTGCCCACAATAATGTTCAAATTTTGTAAAGACATTGTAGGCAGGATACAGCACACACCTGTAGTTTCAGCACCAAGGATGCTAAGGCAAGATACCAGGCCAGCCTGGGCTACATAACAAGATCCTGTCAAAAAACAAAAACCTTGTTGGGCATGGTGGTATATGCCTTAAATCCCAGAACTTGGAAGGCAGAAGCAGGAGTAGCTCTTCGAGTGCCAGGCCACCCTAGTGTACATAGTAAGCTTCAGGACAGACAAGACTGGGTAGAGAAATGAAACACTTAAAGACAGAGGCAGGCCTGGTCTACAGGTCAAGTTCCAGGATAGCCAGGGTCACACAGAAAGACCATGTTTCAAGAAAAAACTGGGTTTTTTTTTTTTTGTTGTTGTTGTTTGTTTGTTTTTGTGTTTTTGGTTTTTCGAGACAGGGTTTCTCTGTGTAGCTTTGGAGCCTATCCTGGCACTCACTCTGGAGACCAGGCTGGCCTCAAACTCACAGTGATCCGCCTCCCTCTGCCTCCCGAGTGCTGAAGAAAAAACATTTTAAAAACCCCACCAAAACCCAAAACAACTACTACCACTGAGTTATCTCAATAGTCATAATAGGAGTAGCTTGTTATTTCCCACCATGTTTCTATTGAGAACTAGATTTAAGACAATGTTAAGATTTTTTTAAGCACTAGGTTTATTGTTTTTGTTTTTTTGAAACAGGCTTTCACTCATAGCCCAGGCTATCCTGAAACTTACTCTACAACTCAGGCTGGCTTCAAACACCTGGCAATTTGCCTCCCTCAACCTCCCAAGTGCTGAAATTATAGCTGTGAGCCAACACACCTGGCACTAGGTTTATGACTAATAAGTTAATTTGTAAGTTAGTAGACTATACTAATGGTGATGCTTTTGCATTTAAGTTATTTGTATTATTAGTGTGTTAACATAAATTAATAGAGTATACTAACAGTGATTTAAATAATCTGCACCCATATTTTATATAAATTTATTTCTTTTTTTGGTTTTGTTTTAAATGTATTTATTTTTTTCATAGTGAAGGATATTGGCATGTTAAGCATGGTGTCCAAAACAGTCAGCCAGCACATAATTAATTATATCTCAACATCCTCTGGAAGCAGAAGACTTTTAATACAGAACTTTCATGACCTTGATCTGTCTGGCACGAAAGAAGAGAGTCGCCTACTGGAGCACTACAGAGCTCTAGGTAATTTGTAAAATGCAAACTGCAACAAGAAAGTGCCTATAAAATAGTTTATTATATAATTCTGTAAGGCTACCGATTGGAGAATATTACCTGGAAATTTTCCTTTTCTCTATAGCATTTTTATTTTCAGTATAAAGTCCTTAACAGTAGTCCTACATACTTCAAAGATGAAAGCTGACCACAGTGGCTCACACTTGTAATCCTAGCATTTGAAAAACAAAAACCATAGTCATAGTGTGAGACCAGCCTGTACCTCATAGTGAGTCTCTGAGTTTTAGGTCAGCCTGGACAAATGTGTGAGACTCTATATTAGAAAACCTTTATAAAAAGGAGAATGTAGACCCTAAAAGAGACAAACTTTGTCCCCTGGAGAAGGGGAAAGGGTCACCATTCCCTGAGCAAATTGAGAACATGGGAAGAGTGGGGAGGAAGCTATGAGAGTGAGAAGGGAAGAAAAGGAAGGATATATATATATATATATATATATATATATATATATATATATGAGAGAATGTAGCTAAGTTAGTTGAGTTCTTGCCTAGCATTGATAAATCCCTGAGTTTCATCCTTAGCACCAAATAAATGGGGTGTTTTTGGCACTTGCCTGTAATTCCCATACTCAGAAGAGGAAACAAAAGCCAGGCAGTGGTGGTCCATGCCTTAATCCCAGCACTCCGGAGGCAGAGGCAGAGACAAGCAGATCTCTGTGAATTCGAGGTCAGCCTGGTCTATAAAGCATATGCCAGGACAGCCAGAGCTGTTACACAGAGAAACCCAGTCTCAAAAAACCACCAAAAAGAAAAAAACAAAGGAAAGAAAAAAAGAAAAGAAAGGAAAGAAAAGGAATAAGTGAGCCGGGCGTTGGTGGCTCATACCTTTAATCCCAGCACTCAGGAGGCAGAGGCAGGTGGATCTCTGTGAGTTCTGAGACCAGCCTGGTCTACAAAAACTAGTTCCAGGATAGCCTCCAAAGCCACAGAGAAATCCTGTCTCAAAACCCCAAAAAAAAAAAAAAAAAAGAAAGAAAGAAAGAAAGAAAAAAGAAAAAGAAAAGTAAGAAGTGGAAGCAAGAGTATCAGAAGTTCAAGGTTATAGTGAATTTATAGCTACCTTCATGAAACTTTTTCTGAGGAGAAGGGGCAGATATTTAACCCTAACTAGACTAAATAAATAATCTTTAATATAAAGTGCCTGTCCTTGTAATTTTACATATAGTGTAGCCTGTGCTGTTGTTTAAGTGATATACCAGCTTAGGGAATTGATGTGTTGTCTATGTGTTTTGCCTCTGTTCCTTGTGATTTAGAGTTTTTTGCTTGTTTGGTTGGTTGATTGGTTGGTTTTTTTGAGACAGGACTCTCTATGTAGCAGTCCTGGCTGTCCTGGAACTCATTCTGTAGCCCAGGCTGGCCTTGAACTCACAGAGATCTGCCTGTCTCTGCCTCTCAAGTGCTGGAATTAAAGGCATGTGCTACCACACCCAGCTAAATTTTATTCTGTATTTATATTCCCTTTCAGTAATAATCTAGTCCATAAAAGTATAAAAGTTGGGGGACTGGAGAGATGGCTCAGTGCTTAAGAGCACTGGCTGCTCTTCCAGAGGTCCTGAGTTCAATTCCCAGCAACCACATGGTGGCTCACAACCATCTGTGATGAGATCTGGTGCCCTCTTCTGGCCTGCATAAAGACATGTACACAGAACACTGTACACATAATAAATACCTTTAAAAAAAAAAGTATAAAAGTGGTGATGCATGACTTTGATCCCAGTACTTGAGAGGCAGAGGCAGGTGGATCGCTGAGTTTGAGACCACCCTGATCTATGGAGCAAATTCCAGGACAGCTAGGATCATAAGAGAAACCCTATCTCAAAAAACAAAACAAAAAAGTATAAATTTAGATACACTAGTAGAACATTACTATTCTCTCATCAGTGGCAGAGCATGCCTTAGCATGCATGAGATGAGAACCTAAACAGTCTCCAATATCACACACATACACACACACACACACACACACACACACACACACACACACACACAGAGGAAGGAAGGAAGGAAGGAAGGAAAGAAGGAAGGAAAGAAGGAAAGAAAATAGTAAAATCATATGGGTCTGGAGAGATGGCTCAGAGGTTAAGAGCCCTGACTGTTTTTCTGGAGGACCTGGGTTCAATTCCCAGCACCCACATGGCAGCTCACAACTATCTGTAACTCCAGTTCCAGGGGATCCGACACCCTCTTCTGACTGCCTCAGGCACATATATACATGAAGGGAAAACATAGACAAATAAGTAAATCTTTTTTAAAAAAGAAAATAGTATGAATACAGTGTTGTTGTTTTCAATGCTTTTAAGTAGATTTGGGAAAGCCTGGCCCTGAATATGACAAGTATTTGATAATTGTCTTTTGAGTTCTGTCTAAATGATTTTTTTTTTAAATCAAGTCTTAGGTGCTTTAGCAAACCCACTGATATGTCTGGGAATTGAACCCAACGGTAGAGTACTTACCTAGCTTGTGGCCAAAGCTTATTAATCACAACATTGTGGAAGTGAAGACAGCAGAATGAGAAATTCAGGCCATTTTCAACTACATAGTATGAGGCCATCCAGGGCTACCTGAGATGGTATCAAACAAATAAATAAACAAGGCCCTAGGTTCCAGCTTCAGATCACATTAAAAATAAAAAACAGTAATTATATGAGTAATTCAATTAAAAATATAAACATTCATCTTACACCTAATCTGCAAAACAGGTTTGATTAATATATTAGCTTTAATTTTCCATTCAGTTTTTGTAGATACCTGCTTTATAATTGGTTATTTTGGTAAATGTTTGACATACTCAGCATTTTCCCATGCTTTCTTTCCTATCTGATCTGTTCCTGTTTTTAGATACTAAAATAACATTTTTCAGAATCTTAACTTGGAAGATTATAAATTTAATTTGCATTTTCTACTGAACAGAGCAGATGGCCAATGTAAAAAGAATACTGTGTCTGACGTTATTTTACTGGGAGAATGTAAAAGAAATTGGTCTCTGAAAAATAATACCTGTGTTTAGAAAAAAAGTCAGCTAAATACAAGGGTTAGCTAAATAAACTGCAGTCCTTAAAAATAGGAGATTTGCAGTAGAAAAGGCAACCAGTATGCAATTATAGCTTGCAGTCTCAGCTATGATATAACATGAGACACAGTGCCAAAACATGAAAGGAAAAGAACTCAGACTAAAGCCAAACACTGAAAATAACTGTCTGTAAGCAAAAATAAGGAGGGATTATGTTTAAAATTCAATTCCGGTCCTGTGTTACCCAAACATAGCAACTTCTAAAAATAAACTTGATTCCTATAGATCTTCAGGATTATATAACCATTTTATTATATAAAGAGTAAATGTAGAGAAGTGGTGACTATATTATATAAAGAGTAAAAACTGAAGAAAGTGGTGATATTCAAGTGTGTCTTTCCCTACCACACATATCATTTTTAGAGATGCCATTTGTCCTTACAGGAATGTTAACAATGTATTGCCGTTTTAGGAAAACAGAATACTTAGGGGAAATAGATCATATGCTTCCTTTCACTATAGTTCAAATAATGTCTTACTGAGAAATTGGAAGGATTTATCTTTTTTTTCAATGTCATGACACAGACTCCTACATACTATTAACATTGTAATCTTGTAAAATATCTTAGAGAAGAGATGGTCCAGTGGCTAGGAGTACTTGGTTTCCTTGCAGAGGACTGGGGTTTGGTTCCCAGCACCCACATGGTGGTTCACAACTGTCTGTAAATCTAGTCCCAAAGTGATACAATGCCCTGAGCACATAACACATGCTGATGAAACACTCATACACAAAAAAGTTAAGTAAAGACAAGTGTGGTGTTGCATATCTTTAATCCTAGTACTCAGATGAAAAGGCAGGCAAATCTCTATGAGTTCAGGTCTAACCTGATCTACATAGCTAGTTCCAGGACAGGCAAGGTTTCGTAGAGAAACTGTTTGAAAAAAAAAAAAGTATATGTCTTTGGAGAGAGATAGGTATTTAACCCAATTTGTATAATTTATGTGAGCAAAACTGACTTCTAACCTCTGAAGTTTTGAATACTTAATGATATTTAAAAAATAAAAATTTGAGACAGTCTTTATATAGATGTAGCTGGTCTGGAACTCACTCTGTAGACCAGGCTGACCTGAAATACAGAGATCCACTTGCCTCTGCCTCCCAAGTTCTGGGATCCAAGGCAGGCATGCACCACTACTCCTAGAATTATTATTATTATTATTATTATTATTATTATTATTATTATTATTATGTGTGGGTGGGTGTTTCTGCCAGAATATTTGGCTGTGTAGCACATGCATGAAGTACTCTTGGAGACTAGAAGAGGATGTCATATTCCCTGGAACTGGAGTTACAGTTTTTGAACTGCCATGTGGATGCTAGGGAGTGGACCCTGGTCCTCTGGAAAAACAACCAGTGCTTTTAACCACTGAGTCATCACTCCAGTCCCATGTTTTAAATTTTTTATTTTTTATTACTTTTTTCCTTTCTTTTGGTTTTTCAAAACAGGATGTTCCTGTGTTGAGGTGGCTGTCCTGGAACTAGTTCTTTAGACAAGGCTGGCCTTGAACTCAGAGATCTGCCTGCCTCTGCCTCTGCCTCCCTCTCAAGTACTGGGATTAAAGGTGTGTGTCACCACCACCACCACCACCACCACCACCCAGCTAAATTGTTTTTTTGTTTGTTTGTTTGTTTGTTTGTTTTTCAAGACAGGGTTTCTCTGTGTAGCTTTGGAGGCTATCCTGGCACTGTCTGTGTAGACCAGGCTGGCCTCAAACTCCCAAGTGCTGGGATTAAAGCCGTTTGCTACCACTGCCTGGCTAAAGTTTTATATTTGGATAAAAAGAATACAAAATCTCTTCCTATCCTTCCTATATTTTACACAATTTTTATAATGTTTTCTTTTGTTGACATAAGGTTAGTCCCAAGAGGTATTAGAGGGGCTGGAGAGATGGCTCAGGGGTTAAGAGCACTGCCTGTTCTTCCAGATGTCTTGAGTTTAATTCCCAGCAACCACATGGTGGCTCACAACCATCTATAATGTAGTCTGGTACCCACTTCTGGAGTGGAGGGATACACTTAGGCAGAACACTGTGTACATAATAAGTAAGTAAATCTTTTTTTTTAAAAAAAGAGATACTAGAATTTGTTTCCCACAGAATAAAGATAAATTTTGCCTAGTGTATCTTTTTGCCTTATTATTGTATCATTTTAAATCAATACTCTGCCCTTAATCCCAGCACTTGGGAGGCAGAGGCAGGCGGATCTCTGTGAGTTCGAGACCAGCCTAGTCTACAAGAGCTAGTTCCAGGCCAGCCTCCAAAGCCACAGAGAAACCCTGTCTCAAAAAAACAAAAACCAAAACAAATGCAAACAAACAAAAAAACTAAATCATAGTTCACAGTCATATGGCATATAGCATTAATTTTAAGGGAATTTTGTACTATGCTGTTGTGCGATATTACTTTAATTATGTAAAGGTATGTTGCATTTGTTTATGCTGCATTTGTTTAACTATGTAAAGATGTGTTACTGTTTTACCTTGCCTACCTAAGGCACTTGATTGGTCTAATAAAAGCAGAACGGCCTATAGATAGGCAGTAGAGGGATAGGCTGATCTGGTAGACAGAATAAGTAGAAAGAGGAATCTAGGGGAGAAAGAGGACACAAAATAAGAAAAAGAGGGAGATGCCTGGGGTCAGCCAGTCAGGCCACTGCCAGACAGACAGACATGGAAGAAGGAGGAAAGTGGGACATACAGAAAGGTAAAAAGCCCTGAGATAAAACACAGATGAAGAGAAACAGGTTAAAATAAGTTATAAGAGCTAGTGGAACAAGCATAAGATAAGGCCAATAATAATAAGTCTCTGTATCATGATTTGGGGGCTGGTGGTCTGAAACAGCCTGCTACACTATGCTGTTGATAAGTTTAATTAATTTCATTGTTGTCACTTTTTTATGTCCCTTTCTTTTCTCAGGTCTACTATTTAAAAGATGCACCTTGCTGCTTCCCACCAAGGACAGACTAAAGTACATTCACAAGATCCTCTCAGAGGTAAGATCATATGCCAGAATTAGTTCACATTCTTGTTTTCCAATAACTTATTACTAATGTTATATATTCTTTTTTTTAAAGATTTTATTTATTATGTATACAACATTCTGGTTCCATGTATATCTACACACCAGAAGAGGGCACCAGATCTCATAATGGATGGTTGTGAGCCACCATGTGGTTGCTGGGAATTGAACTCAGGACCTCTGGAAGAGCAGCTGGTGCTCTTAACCTCTGAGCCATCTCTCCAGCCCCTATATATTCTTTGTAAGCCTTTCTTTTAAAATTCCTATATGAATATTTTGCCTGTATGTATGCATATGCACCATGTGTTGCCTGGAAGCCAAAAGATACACCAAATCCCCTGAAACTGGATCTACAGGCAGTTGTGAGTCACTGTGTCAATGCTGGGAGTCAAACCTGATCCTCTGCAAGAAAAGCAAGGGCTCTTGACTGAGTCATCTCTCCAGCCCCAAACCTATCTTTTAAAAATAGGATTTATTTTTTAACTGTGTGTATGTGTGTGATTCTATTTATGAATGTCCATGGAAGCCAAAACACAGATGTCAGATTTATAAATTAAAGTTTATCATAGTTACATATTCTTGGGAAAAACATATGAAGAGATGGCTCAGTTGTTAAGAATTCGTACTACTCTTGCAAAGGACTCAACGTTGGTTCCCAATACCTTAGTGAGGTAACTCACAACCTTCTGTAACTCCACCTGCAGGTAATCACACCTTTGGCCTCTGCAGGTACCTGAACATACCTACACATACAGATAATTAAAAATAAAGATGGGCAGTGATGGCTCATGCCTTTAATTCCAGTATTTAGGAGGTAGAGGCAGGCAGATCTCTGAATTTAAGGCTTGCCTAGTCTACAGAGCAAGTTCCAGGATAGCCAGGGCTACACAGAGAATCCCTGTCTCAAAACACCAAAATAAATGGCAATATATTTTATACTGTACAAGAGTAATAGGGCAGTTAGTAGATATTTTTTAATATTAATTTTATTTATTTTTGTTTGTGTCAGGGTATGTATACCATGGTGCACACCTCCTCCTCCTTCGTTTGTTTGTTTTTGGAGACAGACTTTCTCTATGTAGCAGTTCTAGCTGTCCTAGAACTTGCTTTGTAGACCACACTGACCTCAAACTCACAGAGGTCCTCCTGCCTCTGCTGGAATTAAAGGCGTGCACAACCACCACTTGCCCAGCTGGCAGTCTTCACATGGGTTCCAGAATTGAATTCTGTCTTCATGCTTATGAAACAAGCACTTACCAACTGAGCCATCTCTCACAGCCTCCAAAGTTGTTTAAAGAAACGACTTAGAGACTGGGCGGTGGGGGTGCAAACCAGAGCCAGGTGGATCTCTGTAAGTTCAAGGTATAAATGAAT